TCTAAGTTGGCTTCTAATGCCGAAGCACGAAAATTCCGTGCGTCGACCCGTCTACGATGTCTCGCGATGTTCGCATAACAATGGAGGAGCCTGCAAAGAAAACAGAACCGAAACATCGTCGAAATCCGAGTACAACGAGTCGGTCGAACACTGTGAGTACAGTTTTCAGAGTTTATTTGCTTGCTATCTATTACGAGAGTTTTAATTAATGTTCCAAATTCAAAATTAAAATCTAGATTCATTGTTATATCGCTATTTTTCGATTAGATCAGTTGCTCACAGGCATTTACGGTCAAAAAGGTCTGGATGTTGTCTGTCCAAAATTAGAGTTGAGGTTGCGGAAATTACCGATAATGAAAGGTAGGAAAAGAAAATGCCACGAACGCTGAAAATGTAAGCCTCTTTTCGTACAGTCGACGGGTGTGTGAGGTGTGAGGCTCTGATACAATTCGCAAAGGCGCTGACCAACGAGGCGAAGAACACTGTCCCGTAACTCCGCGTTTCATTCTACTAGTAATACCCCCCCCCCCCCACCGTTCGACGGCCATTTTGGAGGGAGAAGTGGGCGGGTGGGGGAGTTGGGCTGTGTCGACTGATCTCAGAATCAAATACTATAGAAACAGCCATGATGGCGAGGGTGGTGGTCGGGAATAGGGGAAGGGTGGTCGTATTGAGGAGCCTCCTGACTCCCATGGTGGTTGTGGGGGTCGCATCGAGACCCGGGACCCTGCCAAAGGAGGGGGTGGGGAGAGTCGCGAAATTGTCGGAACAGTCACGGTTGACCCTGATTTCTGGGTGTTGGAAGAATAAATTGTTTTGTTTTCAGAACGTGGCATCCAATGGAACAGGAGCAAATAAGAGGCGGTCTTCAACACACGAAAAAGGTTAAACTTGAACGTTCAACCAAAAATTGGAAGTTCTTGATACAGTTTTTTCGAAATTTGCTCTTTAGTTGATCTATACCACTGGCTGTTATCGGTACATCGTGAACCTAAGGATCGTAAATCGGCTGAAACGAGCAGCAAGGAATACTTGAACCCTATGGACATAATGCCACAGGCATTCTTCTTCAGTTTCTATAGGGTAATTTTACAACTCAAAAGCATTTTTGCTTTGCGAATCGTTTTTGTACAAAGCTATAATATTTGTCCCATGTAGAGTCGCCGCCTTGAGTGGACGAATTTGGACGAATTGCCACTTGACCAATTTTCGTTGGCTTATGTTTTCGTTATCAACAACGTTGTAACAGCAATGGTTGAACAGAGGTAAATTCTTCTTTAACGAAGGAAAATTCTATTCATATAATTTAACCGAATCTTTCCTCTTCTTTTTGTCCTTCCTTCCTATCAAACTCATTTGAGTCTAGGCTTTTTGTTAATTCAAGGGTTGTTTCATCGGCAGCAGACAGTTCTCGAAAATTTATCACACCACACCTTCATCAATTGGTGCATGTGAAAAGAGTGGCAATTGATGGCAAACTGTCGTGGCATATCGAGATGGACGAAAAGGGCCTCCTACCGGAGCGAGGAATTGTGAGTTTCTTCTTTGTTTGTTAGAAAGGACTCATTGGGTGAGAAGATGGTGCCAACGTCCAGCCATTGTGTTGGGCAGAATTTCACCCTTCCGATGCTTCTTACATTTTTGTGATGGTCCTACTTCCATCTACCAGCCTCCAACTTCCTTCCCAAAAAGTTGTTGAATAAGCATAGACAGCAGTTTAAAATGAGGATGTTGTACAAAATTTGCAAGATCCTGCCTTCTTATCAGCACATACAGTTCGATCTCACTCTCTTCCTTCTCTCTCCTTAAACTTCGAGTCTGACGCATTTACCGGCCTCATCCCCACCCTATTTACGTATGTCAAGTAATCATCTTTTGTTAGCTTTTGTGAAATGGAAGCTCGACCTTGGTTGAGTGGCACCGGCTAGGTGTTGTGAAGTGCTTCTTCATGATTCACAATAAGGAGCTGACCTTCATTATTGAAACCTGTTAATATATCCAAGTCATGTTTCCAGGCTGACATAGCATACAATGGAACGGTTGAGAATGTACGTTTTCGTTGTGGCGCTGTGCTCGGTGTGTCTGATCAAAGAGATTGCGCTAGTGTCAAAAACACTGAACGCACCCAACGATCAGAAGAAGTATGCTAGCACACCAGTATCGTTTGTAAGTTTTTTTGGAACATGCATCTGAACAATTGAATTATGAATGAATTCACTAAAATGAAAGCAGTTTCAGGCTGACCGGATCACCACTCTCTGTGCATTCGCTGTTGCCAGCACAAACACGTGCGTCTGTGTCGTGGGATGTTCGAGTGCTTGACATGATGCGTGATTTCGAGAAAAATCGTAGTCGGAGCACTACAAAAAAGAGAGGCGACGTGAGTTTGTAGTGGAATGGAAAAGCTGTCGCAATATATGAGGGCGTCCCTGTCTTGCTTGGAACGAGCAGGGCTTGGAAGTCTTCTTCTCTTCCTAAGGATTGTTCGTAAAAAAATAAGTTAGATGCATTATTTAAAATGCGTTCCGCGACATGCCTAGTACCTTGTCTGCGATAAGTGCCAAATACATATTGTAATTATCTTCTTCCATATTCATTCTTCTGGTAAGGTATGACTACCACCCTTTAGTCATTGCGTCATTTTCTACTCGGCCTCTATTTTAGTGGAAGCTTCTTGATGACTGGCCGCCCTTTTCTTAGGAAGCTTTTTGATTGGTTGGCCTGGGTCCGACTTTTGGGTGTGGTTCACTAGGACAGAAAGCGACTTTTTTCGCGTTTCGCAGCGCGAAACATTTTCGCTGCGGGAATCTCGGGTCCACTGATGATCAGCGGTGGACCTGAGGTTCCCGCAGCGGAAAAATGTTTCGCGCTGCGAAACGCGAAAAGTCGCTTTCTGTCTAGTGAACCACACCCCTTATTCCCTGTCATAGTATATGGTTGTGCTGCATACTTTGATTCCCGCACAACACACGTGCTCTGGACTATTCTTGGAAGAGTGCCGCGTTTGGTTCTTTGAAATTTTCGCACCATACAGTATGTCATATCTAATGTACAGCGGTTTTAGGTTGCAATTTGGCTTTCAGGTGGTCAATTCTCACAGATCTCTATGTGTCGGTAATGGTGCAACTGATTGGTGTTAAGCAACAACACGATTCGGATCGTAATCAAGTCAATAAATCGAAGAAACACATCAAATCGCTTTCGCCGAAGCGTAATGCGACCATGTTCGATATAAGTTTGAGGTGAGATTACCATGTGTTAGCGAAAGAGGCTGTGGCGTAATGTCCAAATTTCAGTAGATAACCTAGGAGGTTGATTCCATTGCAATAGTAAATTTGAAACTGGTTTCAAGTCTTGACTTTACAAGAATCAGCACTGAGATACGATAGATGATGTTTACAGAAAGGCAAGCCTCGCTCTGATGGAATCGGACAACGCCAAGCAGAACATGCATATAGTGAACTGTACACTTCACGAGAGTAACGCGAGATTGTCGAGGTAAATTTGGATTTTCAAAGCTTCAGATGTAGTGGTCTTTTGATACGACTTGCAAGAGCTTCCACTGAATTTCTTACATCCGGCTGGAGCACAACTTCTTCGTGCGATTGCAAGTTTTTGAATTTCTAGCCTGCTATTAGCTATCAACGAGATGTAGCCAGCGTTAGGGATTGAGCGGTTCATCCTGGTAGCAGGATAGGTTTTTCTCGAGACTTTCAGAACACTGCCTTGCGATGAACATGGCATCTGTCGGGGAGCGGGGGCGCAAGTAAATTTTCTTCTGCTCAAATTGTCGCTGAGCAAGAATTATCGTCGTTGAAGTTTACTGTTGGCTGAATTTGCTACGATTATGTCATGTTATGACGTTCCTAACGTTCAGTGGTGTTGCCGATGGCGAGAATGAGGAGCCGTTGACGACCTTACGAGTAACACTTGGTGCTATCGAAGGAGAACTTCCAGTGGCCGCACACTCACTCCACGACGTTGTAATGAGACATGGTCCTCAGGTAGGTCGAGACGAGGTTACAGTCAGATTTGGGGAG